ACCACGCAAGACTGGTGAAGAGAGATGTCTTCACGTGCTGGACACTTGATGGGGTTTGGCCGATTTTCTAGAACGTACCAAGCCTTTCCATAAGTCAACTCTGCTCTTTGTTAGTACAGCAAATCGGGTAAAGGGCCTTCCGTTTCTTTGCAGATTTCCAACTGGATCACCTCCTGCATAAAGTCCTGCTGTGAGCTGGTGTGGGTCCTGCCTCGCCGATTGTCAGTGCTCATTTGACTTGAACGAAGGTATTTGTTGATGGCCTTCTGGCATGCTTCCCTACCCAGGACATGTAGAGCTGTTATGTAGTTCTGTCTGTATGTTCACATCTCATTACACCATCGCTCAGTAGGCCAGAGACAACACTGGGCTTGGTAGAGCAGTATTACAATCTGTGCAGCTGTGAATTCCCACCTGCCTCCATGGGTAGGGCTTGGAGTCCCCTAGAGTGGAATGGACATGAGCAGGCACTTGAAGAAAAAGGCATAGCTGTTGCATAACTGGTTTTCTTAGCAAGACGCTGCTTTTGTCCATTCAACATCCTGCCCTTCCCCATTTTTGGCATTTCCGGCAAGAAGAAATGGCAATGCCCCTTTTACCGTGCCACTCAGGCGCTACTCCAAAAGGGTCCACAATTGGTCCCCTATGGATACTGCTGAGGTAAAATTGCCTGCACACCTGGATATGGTGAGCACACACTTCTGATACAGAAAGGACATGAGCAAGCAAATTTCTAAGAATACCAGTTCTGGTAAAAGGTAACTGTCTTTTTAAAGTGAGGCAAAACTTGTGGGGTATCAGAGCCCTGAAAGTGGTACAGTAGTCTGGAGAGGTTTGAGAGAAACTGGCTTAACGTCTGGTGGCTGCACTTCCCCTGTGCTGTTAGCAGTGTCCACATGCCAACTCGGTTCGCAGCGAGCTGGGGCATGATAGCGCCTCTCACCCTGGCTTGCTGCCGACTGACTGGCTGTGTAGTCCAGTGCAAGTCTAGGGCTTGTTAGCTACCGGCAAGATCAGGGAGCTCGCTCGGTGACTAATACTCCATTTAACGAAATCTGAAGCCTTGCCCATTCATTCTGACTAATCGTGGTGTCATCCCAGCCCTCAAATCTCTCATTTGGTCCTGTATTTTTTAGAATCTGCCAGAACACTGAAAGGCGTATTGGGAGGAATGAAGAATGGTCAACTGCACTGTGTGTTTTGGGGTTGTTTTTTTTAAATCTTCGGCTCAGCAGTGATCACGGCTAAATAATTCCAGAAACAGCCTCAAGCCCCCAACGTCTATTATTAGGAATATACATTGGGGGACATTATCCTGCCATCCTAAACTACCATAACTTCCCAGAGGCACTTTACCCTCGCTACACTTGCCCCAAACCTTCCAACTTCACCCCGTCCTCTTCTGTGAGGCAGCCAGGTCTTCTCAAAGAAGAAAATGTTGGGGCAGCACAAAATAAATACAGACTTTGTCTAAATAGCAAACAGTGGCTACAGGAATAATTCACTTTCACCTTTACTTAAACCTTCCCTTTTTTAAAAACTTAAACCTCCAGTTGGATTTCCAACCTGCTGCACTAAATGGTGGCAGAGTCCAGGAAATATGATTCAGCACTTGGATCCTGTTTGTTCTGGGTTACGCAGGCCCGTGCATATAATCCACCAGTATATTAAATACTGGTGAACACATCTAGCGATGAACTGAACCTGGTTTCAGGCAATTTACCCCACCGGCAAGATCCCCTCCAGAAATTGCTTTTTGGGTTTGCAGTTGGAGGTACTGCTGAAACCCAGGTTGCAAGCAATCTGGTAGTCCAGTCAGGCAGCAGGAACCGATGGGATCCGTGAAGGGAACAGCTATGTGTGGCCGGGCCAACAGCCACTGCGGGCCTAGAACAAGGTATGAGAGGGGACGGTGCCTCCGGTGGAAGGCGCAAAGATGTTAAAATGTGATTATCTGGCTAATTGTTTAGTCGATGCTGTTAATATCGACTATACGGTTAGTCGATAAGCGCTGCTGTGCAGAGCTGCAGCGGAGGTAGCTCCATGAGCCGGCTCCGGAGCCACCTGCACTGCTGCTCTGCATTTTAAATGTAGTGAGAGCAGCAGTCCAGAGGCGCAGCAATCAACTCAAGCTGGGACTGCTCAGCTCAAGCCGGTTTGCGCTGAGTCCAGCAGCCCCTGTTTGTCATGGACAAGACGTGAGCAGCCCCTACCCATGGCCATTCCTGGCCACTGTGAACAGGGGTTGCTTGGCAGCAATAGCCCCTGTCCATGTGGGACCCCTGTGGACAGGGGCTGCTTCCCGGCAGCATCCCCTATCTTCCCCTCTTCCCCCGCCTCTATTAGAGGCAGCAGGGGAGGGGGGCACGCGGCACCCCAGAGACAGCGCTGAGGGGAACTGGCTTTTAAGCTGGCTCCCCCCAGCATCGGCTCCTGTCCCCCACAAGGGGGGCGGGGTGCTGCAGAGAGCATGGGGGAAGTGGGGACTGTTTGAGTCCCTGCTCACCCCCTGCTCCCTATGGCCCTTCTGCTTTTGTACATTTCCAAAGCAGAAGCGCTGGCAGTGGGAACCAGAACCAGCATGGACTGAAGCACTCTCCGCTCACGGGGAGTGCTCAAGCATTTCCCCGCTGTGCCTCTGCGTCCCTTGCCCCCCCGTGGAGATGGTGCTGGGGGGAACAGGCTCCTGCTCCTCCCTGACCCCCTCCCCCCCCGCTGCATTTCTCTGATAGAGGCAACAAGGGGTGGGGGAGCGACTAGTTGAGCGGCTACATGATTGTCTGATAAACATTTGCTTGTTGACTAGTTGCTAACGTCCCTATGGGGCAGCTAGCCATTGTTGACACATGGACCTCCGCATGGCCCCCGCCATGAGGAGTGGCACTCCAGCCGCAATTCAAAGGGGCACTGGGCAAGTGCCTGCTTTGTCGTCCCCCCTTTCCCGTCGGCAGGCCTGGCATTGTGCCCAGTCAGCAGCATGCACCTCGAGGCGGGAAGCAAAATCAGCAGCAGGGAAGAGACTTTTAAAAGAGACTGATCTGCTTACTGGAAAAACATTCTCCATAACTCACTGCCTGTCCCATTGCAGTTGCCAGGTGAAGAAAATGGTGAAAAGAGCCCTTACCTTCTAGGCTAGGGCCTGAGATTGAAGGAAAGCCATGCTTGTTTCCTCCCTTGGACTGGCAGGGAATCTCATCCCTTTCCAAAATGTTTCTCCCTATGACCCTCCTCCCCCACCTTCTATTTATTTTCCTGTTTGGACAAATAATTTGGGGAATGCACCATCCCATCCTGGATTGAAAGCCCATTGTTCAGCTTCTGTTTCCTGTTTGAATAGCTGCCGCAGAAACAAGCCCTAGCTCGTATTTTGCACCCTCCCTATGGGGTGTATTGACAAAAATGTTTGTGTTCCTGGAGCAGTTGTGGTGTTGAGGGTTCTGTAGTCAATCAGGAACACAGACTAAAGATGATGTCTTTGTCTCCTGTCACTGAAGCTGGTACCTTGATTTGGCCCAGGGTAAAAGATTTTTTTCTGTCATTGAATCTAAATGTAGCACCATGGACCTTCTTTGAATCCCTGATCAAATCCTTTCTGAGTTGATTTTTTACACTCCCCCTCTCACTACTGGCCATTTGCTTAGCCTTCAAAATAAGGCGTACTACTTGTGTTCTTTTGTGTGGACCATCTTTTGCTTTTCTCACCCAGGAGAGGTGATACTTCAGGGCAAGACATTAGCTAGCCACAGCAGGTTCTCTGGAGTTGCAGAACTATTCTGCTAATTTTATGCTGGAATGCAGCTCCGATGGATCTCATTAATGGATCCAAAAGTTCAAAAGTGTTTGCGACCGAACCAGAATGAGTGAAGCAAGTTCTTGCAAGCAGGTTATTTCTATGGGCTTTTTGCCTGTGAGTGAGCTGAGGCTACTTTGTATCTTTATCGTCTTAAAGTGAAGTGCCGATAACAACTCCGTGATGTGAGTTTTATACCTAACCCCATATGCGTGTGTTCCACTGGCCCATTTGCATGATCCTAGTGAGCTAATATTTAAGTCTTCGCCTTTCTAAAGTCCTGGATTCTGATACTGATCAGATTCATTGGATCCTTAGGCAAAGCAGGGGGTGGCTCTGCAGGCTTGGAAGGGGCAGGCCCTCAAGTGGAAGGGGCGGGGCAAGGGCTAGCATCCCCCAAGTAGCTCTCAGCACCACTTGGAGCACTCTATGTGGGACTCCTCTGGTGATTTAAAGGGCCCGGGGCTTTGGATACCGCCAGCGGCACGAACTGGGGCCCTGGGCCTCTTTAAATCTCCAGCCCCCAGGGTACTTGTCCACTTTGGACATCCCGTCAGCAGGTCTGGGTGGCAAGTAGAGTATGAATAGGGATTTGTGCAGCTCTCATTCTCCCAGTCCTTAGAGGCTTCCTCCAGCTGGCTTAGGAAGTGAAAATCTCAAATGTGTCTCTTGCAGGTGTTTTCCCATGAAGCAGACTCAAAATCTCATCACCCACCTTCTTGTCTCCTCCCAGCCCTTAAACACCCTAAATCAAGGATGGGGAACCTTTTTTGGGTTGGGGGCCACTGACCTAGGGATGTTAAATTTTGATTCATCAGCTAATTGAGTAGTCGATGGAATTTCAATCGATTAGTCGATAAGGGGGAGGTGGGGCGCTCGCTATCCTGGCTGCGCCACCCGCGGCTTTTACTACATTTAAAAGGCAGAAGAACAGCAGGGAACACGGGGCAAGTGTGTTCCAACTGTGGCATTTCAGCCACACAAGGCTCTTGCTACGTTTCAAAAGCAGAAGCTCAGCAGTCGGAACCCGGCGCGAATGGGGACTGCTTCATTCCCCACTTGTGCTGTTTCCCTGCTGTGTCTCTACCTCCCCTGCCCCCCAACGGAGATGGTGCTGGGGGAACTGGCTTTTAAACTGGCTCCCCCCAGCACTGGCTCCCCCCACTTTGCTGCCTCTCTCTGATGGAGGGAGCGGGGGTGGAGGGGGGAGTGACTAGTCAAGTCACTACTCGACTATCTGATAAGCTTATGCTTATTGGGTAGTCAGCTAGTCACTTACATCCCTACACTGACTCACAGAAAATCAGTCGGGGGCTGCACACACAAGTAAGCAAAAACAAAAAGCAAAAACAACAACCCCTCCGTCCCCCAAACCCCTGACTTATGCGGCCCATGACTGAGAAGGAGGAAGACACTCCTCACATACCCTTTTCACACCAGAGCTTAGGGGAGCCCAGG